CTACCTTCAACCTTGCTTGAGGCAGGGCCCCTGAGCTGGGTAGTTTTATGTAAGCTTGACACAGGCTATAGTAATCGGAAAGGAGGGAGCCTCAATTGAAAAAATGCTTCCCTATGATTGGACTGCAGATGAGCCTATAAGGCATTTTCTTAATTAGTAATTAATGTGGGAGAGTCCAGCCATTGTGGGTGGGGCCACCCCTGGGCTAGTGGTCCTGGATTCTATAAGAAAGTCACTCTCCATGGCTTCTGTATCAGTTCCTTCCCTGACTTCTTTAAGTGATGGACCACGATGTGCAAATAGAAGGCAAACCTTCTAACCCCTTCCTCCCCAACTTGCTTTTGGTCATGGTGTTTCATCATAGCAATAGTAACCCTAACTAAGACAGAAATTGGTGCCAGGAGTGGGGTATGCTATGACAGATTTGACCATGTTGTCTTGGGGAGGATTGTTGAAGGACTTTGAGCAAAAAAAGCCATAGAGTGTTGAGAGCTCAACAGACTGTGCTGTAGGAGCTTGGGAGAGAACTATGTTGAGAGTAGTGCAGACCTTGGAGGTCTGGTTTGTGAAGTTTCAAAGGGAAACAAAGACTCTACCAGGCCATTTTTGTGAAGAATCTGTGGTGTCTGGTCATCTAGAGCTGAAGAATCGGTTGTGATTAACAAGGGACCAGAACTACTAAAGTAAAATTTGGCTTTGCTGCAACAATAGAGGCTAGTCAGCTGGGACTGGAGAATCAGCTATGATTAAGAAAAAGTCAGTGTCATTGCAGTGAAATCTTCTGGGAAGTGTTTCATCAGGGACAGCACACAGAAGCTGTGCTCCAGAGGTGGGTGTGGTTGTACTGAGGTTGTACTTGTAGTTGAACTTGGTAGTGTATAGTGGGAAATTACCAATACGGAGTCAGGTAGAAATATAAGGGTATTTAATAGGGAAAAGCCTTACTTACAGAGCATCCTGGCCAGCCGGCGCGGCAGCAGTCTGTCCAGCAAGTACCAAAGTGAAACCGAAAGAGAAACACAGTCCCCTGAAAGTCTCACTCTACGTCACCCAGACCATGCCCTCCCAAGCATGGTCAGGCACACCTGTAGCCAGCCCCTAAGTAGGCGTGGCTACAGCTTCCCCTACAGTAGTGTAAGAGTTATCCAGGTTTTGATACTGGTTTTGAAAGCATGAAGGGGTTATGGAGAACATCAGAGGCCTGGCAGTATGTGACAAGGCTGGAGTCCCTGAAGAGAGGCTATTGGTGAAAGTTCAGCCTTGTTACAGCAAGAGAGCCCAGCATTTTCGAGAAGCCAGTACCATGGGATAACTCCGAAAATCAGCAGAGCTGTGGAGTGGAGTCAGGTAGAGCCTAGAAGATAAGCTGTGTGAACTGCAGAGGGTGGAGAATTCACCCAGGCCCTTTGGAGTGAAAGACCCCTGCCCCTTAGCCCTTTCTTTCTCAAGTTTGTCTCCTCTTCCTCCTGTCGGCGGCTTTCCCCAGCCCC